CTTATGGGTGAACAGGCAGTCAGCAGCATTGAACGCTTGCTTCTCTTTGATCTGCTCTGCCAATGCTCTGCCAACAGGTAGAGGTGTTCACAGGATGACTGTAGGTTTTCACGCCAGTGGGACCAAAAGCCCAAAGCCTTGGTACCAATTTCCTGTTACCGCTTAGTGATTATAGTAGGTTAAATCCCATGACTCTGGGAAATACACGCATCTGTGCGTCCATCCACACGTCCACCACCTCCCTCCCAGTGGACTGCCATTCTAACATTAAAGACTTGAAGCATGCTAGGTAGGAATCATGCTAGATTTAGGTTCATGTCACTGCAAGATAAGAGGTTTTTTGTGTGCTAGGAAAGACTGTTGGATAGAGTCCTGTCCCTTTTGCAGCTTGGTTTGAGGTCAGCGTGGGTAACAGCAGGGGTGCTGGGCAGGATCCTCACCTGATCGGGGGCAGTGAGATCTGTCTCCTCGGGAAGGCTTTAGCACTATGCTTGGTTGTCGCTATCTATAGGAAGATACAGTTTGTCTTGTTCTTTGTTAGACTTTAAAAAGGTTCCATTCTTGCCTGGTGTCCTTCCCATCTGCTATGGGACACTGAAGAGCCTGGACTGTAAGTTAGGGGTCCGGGTAATTCTCCTCTTGTGCTAGAGCCAAGTTCTCTCAACCCATCCAACCCGAAGCTTCTAATCACCTCTGTTCTGATGACTAGGATCAGTGGTCTTCACAAACTTCATGAAAATTGTATGCCAGGAAAAGACTGTGGAGTTCAAGTTTTTTTGTCCCCCAGATAAACTTATCTTTAATTGCATTTTGCCATGAATTCTTTGAGTCCCCCTATATAACAACCCTGTACATTTCAAATAAAGACCATGAATACCACTTCACATGTAGCAGAATGGCTCAGAAGAACTCTGGGCTACGCTGCATGCTGCTGTAGGGTGTGAGGGTGTGGATACACCGGGACACCCATCTCCTGCTTGGGAAAGGCACAGTGTCTGGGACTGTAGCCCTGGCCGTCTGTTACAGGGTGGAACCTGCCTGTGTACCTAGTAGGTACATGAAGCCTGTGTGTGTATGGGTGTATGTGTTTGATTTGCAACAGGACAAAACTGAAAGCAGCCTAAGTCTCCTTCAAAAAATGTCTATGATTTCACAAACTGTTACACTTCCCCACCATGGAAAACTACTTGCAAATCAAAAGGGAGAAGTGATTGCCAAAGTCAGGGGCAGAGGGTTAGGGCAAAGACATTACTTTGTGGTCCTGAAATTATTCTTCCTTTATTGTGGTGGATCTTGAATCAAGTGATGAAAATGTATGGAAATGAACACACACATGCACAAGTGAGTGCAAGTGAAATTGCAACCCAAGTAAGTTGGGTGAGTTGTAGCCATGTTGCTGTCTCAACTATGGTTTTACACAATTGTTGCCATTGGCAGAAACTAGGTCCGGTTTCCAAGAACCTATCTTCTTTGTTATAATAGTTAGCTATCTCAACAGCAAAAAAAGAGCATTGCATAAACATTGCACCTGATTAGCATTTAAATTTCTTCATTGGTGCCATTTGTAGTACAACATTAAATTATTGTTGGGTTTTATTTGTACACTAGACTTGGTCTGTGTGAGTTTCTGCTTTCTTAGTAAGTGGTCAGTAATTGCAATTATAACTCTCCTTTGAACCTCTTAATTTAGAAGAATTGGGCTTTTTGGACTTTAGGTGAACTTTAAAAACCTGAGCTTGATGTAGAGTGGCCAAACTTTTGTATATTTGTGAGCATGCTCTGTATATCTACTGGATCTCCATGTGAACTTGGAAATACTTAAACTCTTCAATTGATGTGTCAGGGTTTTTGTTTTCTGATAAAAAGAGACATGCTGTTTTTTTTTTTTTACTTGTGAAAAGTTTAAGAAGTGGTTTAGTTGATAGCAGAAGCTTCATATTGACGTTGAAGCTTTTAAACTTAAGAGGCAGACAAAAGTCTGATAAACCCATTAGCACTGTGGAGTGGAAAGTGGTGGGGGCACGGGCCAGGGGTAAAGCCTTGGCGTGTGCGGGTTGAGCTTGGGAACACTCGCCCAGAGCTCAGACCACCTGTGACGCCGCTCATCCTCCGCCATTCCCAGACCCCTCTCTCCTGCTGCTTCCACTTCCAGGCACGTGTGGGAGGGATGGTAGTCGAAGCAGGTATGTCCCAGGGTTGTGACCACTGTGGGAGCTGCCTTGCTACTTGGAGAATGGGGCATGGCAGGCTAACTGCGCAACTGAGATTTCAATGGTGTTTGTGGAGATGGAATTTGTATTAGTCCCTTGTTATGTAAGCTTGCTGGAAAACCTGGGCCAAGCTCCTTGATAGAAGAGGGGGATTATTTTTTTCTGGGGAAGGGGGTCTTCTGGCTCATGGTTCTGGAGATGCCGCACTGGTGACAGCCCTTGCCGCCAGAGTCCCAGGGCAGTACTAAGGCAGGGCAGGGAGCTTGCATGTGTTCTCTGTGTGTCTGAAAGTTTTCTTTCCCCTCCCCCTCCAATAAGACCACCAGGTTGTGGTCATGGTCCTTGGTCCTAATGATGATCTGATCCTAATTGCTTCCCAAAGGCCCTTGTCATTTCTCTCCTAATATGTTTTCACCCGTTTACTATTAATATGTGGCTAAACTCCTGCGTGAAATTAGGGAGAGAAACGCAGTGAAGCCGTGGCAGGATTCCAGCACCGTGTGTCGATGAGAGATGGGAACCAGTGCTGGAGCGAGGTGCTGATGTACAGCAGGTGTGTGGAAGTGATGACTTTTGCATTAGCCACTTCTCTCCTCCCCACACCCCTCGTCTGCCAGGAGTGTTTAAGGCTGATTTGCCACTGCTCCTTCTGGAGGATAATGAGGCTGGCAGTGAGTGTGAGCCCCGAGGCTGAGCATTCTTTGTGGTCCTCTCGGCAGGGTTCAGTGTTGGCTGCTGGCGAGAGTAGGGGAGAAGGTGGTCTGCTCTCATGGTGTTTTTTTGAGACCACTGTTCAGATCATCATGGCATGTCTCAAGCAGATGTGGCTCACACAAGCACCAGTCTTTCCTGAAGGTTCTTTCAGCCTTTTCCAAGTTGAAGCAGCTGCGGGCTGTGGTATGTGCCTAAATGATCCCAGAAAACAGACTTTTTTCCGAAGGAATCAAATAACACTTAATAAAAATGTCCCTGTGTAGATGTCCATAGCCATACATGCATGGAAAAGAATTCCAGTGTTAAATGCTATAGGTTATGTTGAAAAAGAGTCCTCCCCTCCTTTTTCTTCATTTGTTAAAATTACCTCTTAAAATAGTCTTTGCCGCCCTCGTTCTGACTGGACTCTGCCCAGAAGTGAGTGAGTGGGGGAAAATCTGAGGTAAATTTATGTGTCTGTTTCCCATGATTAGTAGGATGGAAAAATATATAAATGAACTTGAGATTTTTCTGGTTTCCTTGGGAGTTGAAGGTGTTTGGCCGAGTGTCGCATTTAGAATGCTCTCTTGGGCTAGAGTTTAGGCTTAGGAAAGAACAGTGTTCGGTTGATGATCTGGAAGATTCAGTGTCTGAGGGCAGGAGTCACAGTTCACATCCTGCAGCTGCCTTTCCTTGAAAGAAGCCTTGTTGTTCTGGCCAGAATGGAGTCCAGGCATGCCCCATTTGCACATGAAACACATTGTGTAAGGGCCCGTCAGGAGGTATCCCATTTCCCTCCTAGGTGTAACAGCATGTGTCCCAGGAGACAGGCCTGTGTCTGCAGACGCTGCTGGAAGCATTCTGCATGCATTAGCTTGTCTATCCCCACACCCACCGCACGAAGGAGATGTTATTCTTATCCCAGTTTTCTGTAGGAAGATACGAAGGCACAGAGATTCAGTAACTGGCCTGAGGTCACACAGCTAGTAAACAGGGCACCAGCATTTGAGGTTAGGCGGTTGGATGTCGAGTGCGAGTCACCAAGCCACGAGAGTATGCTGCTTCTCAGTGTTCAAACGTTCCTGTGGTTTTAATTTAGTTTTCAGAAGTGTTCTTCATTCATGTCAGATGGAGGTGGGGGAAAGGTATTGATGTTCCATCGCGGGTTTACTCCTCAAATACTTGCAGCCGTTGGGGCTGGGCCAGGCTCAAGCCAGGAGCCAGGAAGTCTGGGTGTCCTGCTGCACAGGAGGAACCCAGGAGCCTGGGCCATTGTAGGCTGCATCCTAGGCGCATGAGCAGGAAGCTGTTAGGAGCTACAAGTGGGACTTGGCCCCAGGCCCACTAACGTGGGAGAAGGATTTTTCATGTGGCGGCTTGGTGCACTGTGCTACGATTCCCATTGCCCTCCCCACCCCCCACCACTGCAGTTTTAAAATAAGGATTTCCCAGTCAGCTATGACTTGAGCGTATATTTTTAAAAGCAGAAGCATGTGATTTTTTCCCATTTATTTATAATAACTGTAAAATGGAAAATAGGACATGTTCTGTTAATTTTTCTAAAGTGGGAATAAAAGCACCAGTTATATTGATGATGCAGAGTCCTCAGTATTACATTAAATAGGGCAGATAGATTTTTTATTACATAAATCTGACCATAAACAACATGCTACAAATGTCATCTGATGCTTCATGTTGAGTGTCTGACTTGGATTGGAGAAGGGCCGCAGAGCTTGGAGTGGCTGAGACATGTGTACAAAGGCTGCTGGTCATTTGGGTTTCTGAGGTGAGTGTGTGCCTCAGTCGCGCAGTGTGGTGGTTTATCCAGCTGTTTTCTGGTCTCTAGTTTCTAGTTTCTAGTTTCTAGTGTCTGCCGGAACGTCGGTCCCTCCTGGTTGGGGGACCCAGTGGTTGACGTGGCTCTGGTTGAAGGTGAGGAGGGTGGCCACCTGCTGCGGCGTGGATCTGGCAGCCCCTCCCTCTGAATCCTGTCTCATCGCCAACCGCAGTGGGAAACAGGATTCTGTCACTGCGTGACTAAGCAATCTCCTGTGATGCAGATGAACTCACCTCTCCCCTTTCTCTCTCTCCCTGCAGCACAGACCCTGGGTTCTTATGGCCTATGGAATGTGGGCCTGCTGGAGCGTGCTGGGCGCTCCTGGTGTGGCCATGGTCTTTCTTCATACCCTCATCTCCTACTGTGTGGCCCAGTTCCGGTCGCTGGGCCTGTCGTGGCTCTGTTCCCTCCTCCTGCTTTCCACGCTGAGGCTGCACGGTGTGGAGGAAATTAAGGTAAGTGCCTCATCCTTGGGAAGACGCCCCTGAAGGCTTAGCCCTGATTCTGGTCTCACCTGTTGTGTTCAGATAGGAGGAACCGACTTCTAGACTCTTGAAGGGCACCCCCTCGTGGCCACAGAGGGTAGGTGCATGTAAGACCAGTTCTCTGTGAGGCCACTCAGGGTGGCACCTGTTCCTACCCCCCAGCCCCGCCCCCAATTTTGACAGGCATGGAAGAGGGCAGATACCCGAGGTACCACACATTCAGAAAGAAAAGGGGAACAATGCCAAATATTCCCCAAGGCATTTAATAAAAGTCTCTGGTTCCTTTCCTTGTTTGGTGCCCCTATGACCCTGAGACGTGAGGTCGGTGGTGTTTTTTCCTTAGCTGATGAATTGTGTGCTCATGTGCCCCCCTCGGAGGCTGTGAATTTAGGGAGTGAAAGCTCTGTTTGGCCCCCAGGGCACAGATTACACTTCCTGTGCAAAACTCAGAGGAAGATGTGGCGTCAGACCTTGCCTCGGCCTGATTTCTATTTGAATGAGTTAAATTCCCTTTCGCAGGCACTGGCCATCTTACCTTTCCTTTATTTTCTTTCTTTTTTCTCCATTTTTAAAAATTATATTTTTGACAACCTTTACATAATTAGGGCGCAAAGGTTCAAGGGCTACAGGAAAGTGGGTAAGACTATTCACACGCATTTTTTGTCTGTATCTGGGGTAAAGAGGGAGGTAAAGGGAGAAACCCCACCCAGTCTCCCACCCATCCCAGGTCCCCGATGTGGGGCATGCTCCGTGAGTATCAAGTGGTTTTGATATTCCAACAGTTGTGAATTGATGCCAGTCTCACCATTCCAAGCATGAGGAAATCGCTGCAGAATCCACTGGTTGACTTAGTCCATCTTAGAGCCTCCGTTTGCCCAGTTTTTCACTGCCAACATGTGGCTGGGGTAGTTGATTTGATTCTGTCCTCTGTCTTTTCATGGTTGGGGATCTGAGTCTGACAGTTCTATTGAAGGGATCCCTAAAGGAACTTTGAGGTGAACCCAGACCAGGTTCTTGTGCGTACTGGCAAGTACAGGGCCCAGTACAGTCCATCATGCAATCAGCTGGTGGTTGCAGTTGCTGGGTCAGTTCTGTTTCCAGTGCTGTCCTCCACTGGAACCAATGGGTGTTGCAGTCCAGCCTGATTCTGCCCAGCACACATTCGGCCCTCACATAAACCAGTGGGAGCTGCAGCCTAGTTGGAGTAACCCACAATAACCCCCACCAGGCCCGCCCCCTGTGCTGGTTCCCATGCTTGCCATTATGTACAGCAGACCGGTCCAGTCTGTCCCACATCCCATTCAGCTGTCATACATGTCTATGGACATTGAAGCCTAGTTCAACCCAACCAACTCCACTATGCAGCCCACACACATGCTGTTGGGTGCCCTTCTGTCCTGGTTTTTGTGCCGTCCCGTGGGAGTGGTAACCCAAGAGGAAGGAGCCCACTGTTTTCCTTCCAGGCCATCCCCATCCTTTATTTTCTTAGTTGCAGTAACCGTGCATTCTTATTTTCTGAGTGGACACCAGAGTTGGTCCAGGGGGTATCTGCTGACAGACCTCCCAGGAGTCCAGGAGTCGGTGCCATCTGTGAACTCTGCTGGCACCCTGTTTCCTGTTGTGCATTCTCCAGCCCTCTCCTGGGCAACATTAGGCATTCTTGGAGTATGTGGCTCCTGTTTTTTTTTTTTAAGATTTATTTTTATTGCAAAGTTAGATATACAGAGAGGAGGAGGAGAGTCAGAGAGGAAGATCTTCCATCCAATGATTCACTCCCTAAGAGACCACAACGGCCGGTGCTACACTGGTCTGAAGCCAGGAGCCAGGAACTTCTTCTGGGTCTCCCACGTGGGTGCAGGGTCCCAAGGCTTTGGGCTGTCCTCTACAGCTTCCCCTGGCCACAAGCAGGGAGCTGGATGGGAAGTGGGGCTTTGGGAATTAGAACCGGCGCCCATATGGGATCCCAGCATGTTTAAGGTAAAGACTTTAGCAGGTAGGCCACCGTGCGGCGCCCTCCTGACTGATTTGTTTGCTGTTGTTAATTTGAAGGGCTTAGCCCTACAAACCAGGGCGTGCTTGCTGGTGTGGCTAAGGCTGCTTGCAGGTGTCCCTGTCTTGCCAACGTGTTGGACACACATTTCTGTTCTCAAGTCGGAAGTTGAGGCTTGTCATCGAAGGCAGCTGTCGGATCTGGGGTTGTGGGCCTGGAGGTGTCAGCCACCTCTGGAGTCATGAACCTGTGCAGGACCACCGTGACCCCCAGCACTGTCCCCTTTCTTCCACAGCCTGTTCTCGGAGCCTACCCAAATGGGCTCCCTCGGAGCTGCTGGGACAGCCAGGTTTATCTGTCTCCCTGTCCCATGCACACACTTTGATTTTGTTTCTTTAATCTGCTTCCTCCCCATCCTGTTTACTGTATGTGTGTGTTGACCAATTGGTCACCAATTGGGCTGTCACCAGTTACACTGCTTTCTAGAGCTTGTCTCTGTTTTCTTGTGTTGTGTGTCTGCATCATTGGCTCTAGTTACCAGGCCTTCCTGACTGGCCCATCAGGTTCTGTTTTGCTTTGTTATTTTTTGCTCAAATGAAATCTCAATTTAGTTGGGCTAAGGAGTTTGCCTAACAGGTGAAATATCTCACAAAGCTTCTCATGACTTCTGTGTCCGTTCATGAAAGCGGCTGGCCGAGTGGGCTCTGACACTGAGCTCAGGTTTCTGTGACTCTTCTGATTATCATTCTGTTAACCTCCCGTGTCAGGCAGCCTTGTGACATTTGTGATACCTTTTCCTCACTGTCAGGATAGAACTCTAGTCTTTATTTTACTACGAAACTTTTTCACTTGAAAGGCAGAGAGACACCTGTGCCATCCCTTGGTTTATTCCCTAAATGCCTGCAGGATTTGGGGCTGGGCCAGATGAAAACCAGAGGCCTGGAACCCAGTCTGGGCCTTTGATGTGAGTGACCATTGATTGGTGCCTTCTGGGATGTGTGTTATCAGGGAGCAGGGTTCAAGAAGAGCCAGGACTCAAAGCCATGTACTCCGGTAGGGGACACAGATGTCCTAGGAGTGGCTACGATGCCATTCATTCATTCATTCATCGGTTTGGGTGGCCACTCTTAGGATTGGTTTGATGGGGAAGAGGAGTCAGGTGGCCAGTTTCTGTTCTTTGCTGTCGCCTCTGCTTTTGAAGCTGGAAGCAGCCATTTAACCTTGGAACCTCCATTTCCACATTTGGACAAAGGATGTTGTGGCTGCTGCTCCTTCAGGGGTTTGGAAGAGTTGGGCTGTGTTCAGTGATGGTGTGGCCATTGTAGGACTGTGAAAGTTCTGGCATGCCTGCTATTGCTAGGTTATCTTGTTTTTTTGTTTTTTTTTTTTCTTCTGTCTTCTCACCAGGGAACTGGTTCTGATGCTTTCAGCACAGATGTCAAAATCTGGGCTTAAAAGAATCTGTAGGTTAGCAGCTCTCCAAGCCAAACATACCTAACCTCCAAGAGCCATTAATCGGGCAGTCCTGTCTGCAAAGTGTTGCCTAGATGTGACTTTGCCATAAAAATAAAATAAATCCACACCTGAGGTTTTGGGAAGCTGACAGCTGCATCAAAATGATAATTGCATTTTATCATTTCTTCAAGGATGGTTGTCAGTTAACCGTGTTTGTGGTGGATCAATAGTATTTGACATGCGTGAATTTTTGGTGGCTTGAAAGATGCCATAGCAGGGGGACAGATGTCCCCGGAGCAGTTTGGGCTTGCCTAAGTGATTCCCTTGTCTGAATGCCCTCTTCCTCTCGGTGGCTGTGGCTGTCGCCCTCCTGGATGCGAGTAAAAACTCCGTGTGGTGATTGCATTTTCTATGTGTTACAGTCTGCAAATACTTGCATGTTATTGAATTTCCTACTTGTGTTTTATGTATGTATTTTCACAAATTGCTTCTTCCTTGCAATGAAATATATACCTGTTGCTGAAAACATGGAAACTGTAGCATCATAAAGGGTTTTAAATCTGCCATTTTACTCTGTCCAGGGTTGGCTCTTGCCCTCATTTCCTGCTGTTGTCCCACGAATCCACGTTTGCTGTTTCTTGTCTTGAGCCACATTTTGTGCACCTGTCACCCAGAGCAGGGACCGTATCTTTTGTCTCTAAAGTTTGGCCAAGAATACCCAACTAACATGGAGCTGACCTAATAACAGAAGGGCAAAAAGGAAAGTACTTTGGAGGCAGAAATCCCAGACGACTTTTGTAAGGGTCTGTTTGTCATTAGACGCGTTACAGGAACTGCCGGAGTATCCATCGGCACAGCCAAGCTTCGTGTTGTCCCCTGGGTACACTGATAGAAGTGCATCCAGAAAGACCTTCGTTTTGCTGCCATCAGGCCTAGCGCTAAGTTGATGATGAGGTTGGAGATGCTGTTTTCCTGCTGCTCGTTGGTCGCTTGCTTTGATGACCAATGGGCCTTACTAATACTCATTGATTGTTGACTCCCGTTGTGGTGTACACCAGCAAGACAGCCGCTCTGCAGGGCTGCCCAGGCTTCTGAGAGGTGGCCAGGTGGGCCAGCACCTGTGTTGGGATTGAATGGCTCAAAGGTTGTTCTCTTCTGGCTTTGCAGAGAAGGTGGTACAAGACGGAGAACGAGTACTACTTGCTGCAGTTCACGCTCACGGTCCGCTGCCTGTACTACACCAGCTTCAGCCTTGAGTTCTGCTGGCAGCAGCTGCCCGCGGCCCGGGCTGCCTACTCCTTTCCCTGGATGCTGGCCTATGTCTTTTACTACCCAGTCTTCCACAACGGGCCCATCCTCAGCTTCCCAGAGTTCATTACACAGGTAAAGTGGGCTGGGCGGGGCGTCCCATCAGTTCAGCGTCTGTCCCTGTTGCATTGTACCTTTGGGATGCTGGGGTCTTTGTGTTCCAGTGCACCTGCAGATGTAAAACGATTTGGTACCTTGAACGTTTGAAATAGTTTGGGGAAATCAGGCTCCGCAGTCTGTCTGTCTTTTGGATGAGCAGACTTCCCACAGTTCACGGAAAATGGAATTGAGAGGTAAGTTTAGTTTGAGGCAAGATTTTTTCAAATCTATGCATGGATTTTTCATAATAAGCATAAGCATGTGCTTTTGAAGGATGCCCTTGTGTGAGCTCTCGTGGTCCCTGCACTCAGGTTCTCAGTGGGCTTGCTGTAAGCAGGGGATGAGACCAGGGCATAGCAAGGGACTTGGGAGTCTGTGGCCACTGCAGTGAAGTCCCTGGGGAGAGTGTGATGGTGATGGCGCTCACTGCAGGAGGAGGCAGACACGCTCTATGTGCTTGGGAACCAGTCTTTTCCTGACCCGGGGAGTGCTTGGGTGGCCTGGCTGAGGAGTGATGTGGCTTTAGGCCGCTGCTGGCCTTCTGCAGATAGCATCCCTATTTGAAAGCTGCTTCTGTCTCCCCCATTTGATATTTTCACTATTTTCACTTACTGCACATATACACGTGGATGCACGCACACACACACACACACACACACACACACACACGTGCGTGTGCGCTCGCACACACGCAGGCATATGGAAGCATTCAGAGGGAGGGCCAGCCCAGTGTTGCACATTTTGGGGGAATAACGTGAATGCTGTGCCTTAAGAGACTAGGAATATTCTAGAAATTTTCTTTTGTCTGAAAGACACCACAGAGTTATGTATTGGATTCAGAAGTAAGCTTTTGCATTGTAACATTAGCTTAAGGCTCTGAAGTTGCCAGGGAAAGCATGTAACTTACGGCTGTGCTGGGCCGCTGTTTGTTGCTATCCGGTTTCCTAGATCTCCCTTTGGACTCCATAGGGGTCACGCTTTTGTCCTGGAGTAATTCCAGGTCTGCATGTGGAATGGTTGTTAGAGGCAGAGGTGGTTTTGTGGTGGCAGCTGAACTTCTAAGTCAGAGAGTGGGCTGGGGTGGGGTACACTCTTCACTCTACAGTCCTGTAACTGTTGTAAATATTAAACTCTTCTCGATTTGGCAGCCAAGAACTTTTAGGTATGAAGCATCCATCTCCTCTTCCAGAGGACTGATAACGGTTCTCAGAAAATGAAGAAATCTATTAGGGAGAAACAAATTCTTTCCCCAACTTTCTCATCCGGAGGGGATTTGCTGCATAGGATTTATATTTTATTATGATGCAACAATGATTTTTTATAAAGTTCTCATCTCCTTTCAAATAGGTACCATTTTAAAAAAGAAATAGAGGATCCCACTTTTTTTTTGGCATTTATTTGAAAATCAGAGACAGATCTTCCATCTGCTGGTTCACTCTCCAGATGGACACAACATCTGGGGTTGGGCGAGGGCGTGGCCAAAGCCAAGAGCTTCTAGATCTGTGTGGATGTAGCGACCCAAGCACTTGGGCCATGTTACAGGTGCATTGGTAGGGAGTGAGATCGGAAGTGGAGCAGCCAGGACTCGAGTCGGCATCCACACTGGATGTTGGTGCTTCAGGCACTGGCTCAACCTGCCGTGTCACAGCTCCTGCCCTTCACCTGGTGCTGTGTAGGGCTAGCAGAGCTGTCAGAGGCCTCCCATATGTAACGTTGCATGTTGATCCACATGGACAAGATGGCTCTGAGATGACTGGTCACCTAAACTCTCAGCCAAGAGCTCTTACCTTCCTAAGTGTCAGTCTGAGAAAGAAAAGGGGCTTCTAGTGGGGGCCAGGGTTAGAGACTCTGGGTCCCGCGTTTGTCTTAGTCTCTTTTTAAACCCCCTTCCAAAAGTGTTAGCAATTAAAGACTACAAGGAACTTGGAAAGGCAACTAATAATCTTTATGGTCTGAAAATATTCATGGAAATGTCAGTTTAGAATAGAAAGACTGTCCAGTTTGGCTGCAGGGCAGAGAAATACAGAAAGTCCCCACAACACTGAGGGAGGGGATGGTTGCCTCGATGGGCGAGAGGAGTTTGAAGGGAGGGTGAGGCAAAAAGCAGCTCTACTATAGTGGAAGAGTTCTTGTGAAGAGGCCAGGAAGGCAAGGGCTGGAAAGCAAGAAGGCTGTTACCGGGAAGAGCTGATGAGCAAGGCTGACTATGATGGAGTTGGGTGAGTGAACGCATGTGGTGCCTTTGGCTGCAAGGATTGGTAATGGAATTCACATTTGCTGTGGGATTGTCTGGATAATGCTTGAAAGCGGCTCAGGCTGGAGAATGACGCTACACCACCAGGGGGCAGCAGAGCCCTGTGATGGAAATCAACCTAGGCTGGAAAAGCAGAGTCCAGTTGGAAATCTACAAAATCCCGATAATAAAATGACAAGATGAGGTGCATCTTGTAATTTCAGCATGTACATTTCCACATTATAGATGTCCTGTGTAATGAAAGGCAAGTGGCATTTGTGTACATTAATCATGCATACATAGACATTTTAAAAGGACTCTATTCCTTAACTTGAATGCTGTTAGGATATGTGTGTTCGCCTCTCTCTCTGCTGGTTCACTGCCCCTAAATGACTGCAGTGACCTGGAATAGGCCAAAGCCAGGAGCTGCATACAGTCTGGGTCTGCCTCCGAGGGTCTGCATTGCTAACAAGTGGAGGTAGGAGCCAGGAATCGAATCCAAGCGCTCTACTGCAGGATGTAGGGGGCTTCACCAGAGTCCTAAATGCTGGACCAAATGCCTTACCCTTTATGCTGGTTCCTAATGCCATTTAGGGTGTTAGCATAGATTCCAGATAGGTGTGTGCTTTCTACCTGTGTTTCTGAGCTGGGTGAGGCAAGAATCCACAGGTTCAAGGGCAGGGCAAGGTGTGTTAACTTCTGTGGCTGAGAGCCTGGGTGGCCCTGCCTTGCCTGGAACGCATTGACTTGTCCATGCGAGCTGGTGTGGGGAGACAGCTCAGGAGTGATGGGTGGTGGGGCTGTGTCCTGAGCCAGGCCTCATGCAGGGAATCCGGCATAGGGACTAAATGCAGAGGCTCTGGAGCCCGACTTCCTGGGTCTGAGGTCCTGCTGTCTGGCCCCTGAGAGCTTTTGCCAAGTTACTTGCAGAATTTATGTCTCAGTTTGTGTATCAGTCAAATGAGCAGACTAATAATACCCATTCCCCAAGGATGTGAGAACGAATTAAATGATTTAATGGTAATGGGACTTGACACAACAATATTGCTGCTTGTTTACTGTTGTTGGCTGAGAGCATTCAGCAATTCTAGGGAATGGTTCAGTCCAGACTGAGACAGTAGCAGGGTGTTCTGGAATGTGCTCTCAGAAGAGGCCAGAGTGCTGGCTCGTCTGCTTGGTGAGAGACCCAGGTGGCGGGTGCAGGTGCAGAGGCGTGGCTGACTCCCGAGTGAGGTGTGCAAGCTCTGGGAGCAGTCCTGCACTCCAGGAGTTCTCAGGGCTTGGGTTGGCTGTGGTTCTGGAGAGCTGCAAGAATCATGCTAATTGTGAGTCCAAATTCTGAGAGCTTGCTCTGAACCAGATGGCCATGGTCTAGCTTGGTTAATCCCCACAGTGCCACAAAAGAGATAGTGATTCCCACTTCACAGATGGGAACATAGAGGGAAAGGAAACTTAACAGAAAACAGAATATGTGAGGCGATGAAGACATAAGTCTGGGCACGCTGACCAGCGTAACAGGAGTGAGTGGAGGGTGTGTGGCCTGCTGGGCACGCAGGGCTGCAGGTGGCAGCCTGGGGCTGGCAGCCCTGACTGCAGCTCCCACGTGCTGTGTGATTCTCCACTATGTGGTGTCAGCCTGCTTTGGCCTGGGTCACCTGGGGGTGGGGAGAGGGGCAGTGGGGGCCTGATCAGGGGATCATTTGCTGGGGTTAGGGCAGTAGTTTTTGACAATGGGATGGGAAAAATCGCCCTGTACTGCTATGAGGCAGCTAGCCCAAGCCGAGAGAAGCAGGAAGTTAGTGGCAGAGCTGGAGCTGCTGAGTAATTGGCTCTGGGTGAGGCTCCTGTCAGGTGCACTTAAGCATCAGCATCATTAGTGTGTGAGGAGAAAGGACCTTTCATCTCTGGGCCTCAGAGCATCTTTGAGAGAAAAAGACTTGGCCATTTCTTTTTATGCAATTTGCATGAAATGAAGTTTTAAAATGTAATGTGTTTTCAAATGCACTTTGCAGATGAGTTAATGTGACTTTTTTTTAGTGGAGTCTGAACTTCCCCTGCTGGTAGTTTCCGATGGCCTTAAGGTTGGCAATCCCCTCTGTGTGGAACATCTCAAATAAAATACTTTGCATGTGGGGAAGAGTGGCCCGCCTTGCCAGGAGAGCTGAGCGTGGCCTCTCTGTTCTTCTGGCCCTGTCCACAGGACCAGGGATGCGGAGATCATTTTAAAGAAAAGGGAGTCGGGGAGGTTCAAGGTGTACGTGAGCTGTCATAATCACACGTGCTGTGGAAAGGCAGATGAGGGGTTTGCCTGGTTTTGGACACATGGGAATAAACGAGACGTTGCATTGCTTTCTTTTCCTTGATCTGTGTGGCTAGGGTGTACACATTTCTCTTGCATGTAGCATCAGACAGGGAGTCCTGTGGAGAAGAGTCAGGCCCTTGTGTCCTGTGGTGACACCTGATGATGTTGTGGTCCATGTGGCAAGCGAGGCTTGGGCTGCAAATAGTAGTTGTTTCAGGAAGCCAGTGAGCTGCCTGGTTGTTCTTTTTGATGACAACTATTTGCATCATTTCAGATGGTACATGGTTTGAAAAGACCCTGGGGGCCTCTGACTGGGCCCTGCCACATGGATGCAGGGAGCTGGGAGGTGACCAGGGGCACCCATTGTGTAGCAGGGGTTGCTGCCCTCCAGTCTGGCTGTTGTCCCTCCTCTTCTGGAAGGGCAACACACCAGGAATGCTGTGAGGCCTTAGATGCCAGTGGGGCGTGGTGTGGAGCAGCCTGGGGTAGGTTCCTGGCCACCGGCCTGCCGGTTACATGCAAGGTTGCCTGTTTAGAAGTGAAATGTTCGGGTGTGAGCTGCTTATCTTCTGTCAAACTGTTTTGAGGGCTTTATCTCATTCAGCCAACCTGCTGCTTTCCAAGAGTCTGGACCTGAATGAAAGGCTGCTGACCTGGAAGGATTCTGGGGTCTTTGGCTGCCTTGATCTTGACAGTTGTCTGGATGTGATCTTGTGCGTTCACCACAGGTGAGCTGGTGTGTGTGTGTGTGTGTGTGTGTGTGTGTGTGTGTGTGTGTGTGTGTTGTAGTCCCTTCTTGGGTTGCGGAGACAAGATGCCGTTTTCCGAGGGGCTTGTGAACAACACATTCTGCCTCTAGTTCTGCAGGGTGAGTTGGGAACCAGAAGTTCCAGAGCTGGTGAGGACCCATCTCCTGGCTTGTAGACCAGGGCCTTCTCACTGTCTCCCATGGTGACAGGAACTGGCCGACTCTGAGGTCCCTCCTACAAGGGCACTAATCCCAGGCCTGAGGCTCTGCCCCTGGAACCAGTCACCTCACAGAGCCCCCTTTCCAGCATGGTTGCCCCAGGAGTTAGATTTCAACATGGGAATGCAGGCGGACATGGATGTGTAGCCCTGCATTCATACCTGTTTGCTTATTGGCTGATGGTGTTTGGGTCATAAAGAGCTGACTTTAGAGAACTGGAAAGAACGTGTGTGAACAGAGAGGGGGAGTGAATGTGTCATAGGAACAGTGCAGAGTGGGGTGGCGAGGTGAGGAGACATAGGAATTAGGTCAGCATAAAAGAGAGATGAATTCTTGCCTGTAGAGGGTGCTGGGCTTCCTGGTGGAAGTCCTGATCCAGGCACCTTGGAGGAGGATGTGCAGATAGGTGCATTTGATGCCCTGTAGAGGGGGCCACAGTTTTCACAGCGTGATTTGTGTTCCCCAATCATGAAATCCATTTTAGGAGTAAATGTTGTGGCACAGGAGGTTCAGCCACTGCTTCTGACACCCACATCTTCTGTTGTTTGGGATTGAGTTCCATCTCAGCTTCTGATCCAGCTTCCTGTTGATGCTTTTGGGGAGCAGCAGGTGATGTTGCTGGTACTTGTGATCCTGCCCTGTGGGAGAGCCGGATAGAGCTCCTGGCTGTGGCCTGGCCCAGCCCCAGCTGTCATTTGGGAGGAATGACCCAATGGATGGAAGAGCCATTGATACCCTTGTCACATAATTAATAAATACTGTTAAAAAATTCCTTTCAATTGTCAAATAACCCAAATCCCATCATCAAAGATCACTCTGATGTTTTCGTGTGTTTTTCCAACTTGGCAGTGGTTTTTGCACATTGCATGTAGATTTCGTGACTACACTGAAGTACACTTGATGCATTCAATCAGTCCTCTGCTGTTAGGCATGTGAGTTCATTCCTTTTTTTCTCTCTGCACATCACAGCGACACAGACGTAAGTGTTCTGTTTGGCAGGTGCTCCTGCACTGAGGATTTTGTGACCCTCTCGCTGCTAGATCCTCTGCGACAGACTGTGTAGGCTTGTTCAGAGTGAGCATGCATGCTTGGGGTGAGGATTCAAATGACAGTTCAGCGGGCATGCTGAGGAAGGGATGTGCGTTGTCATTGTTGTACACCTGCCCTTGCGGCTGGCTATGGTTGGAACAGGTCCAATCCTCCTTTTCAGAGACCCCTCCCCAAGCTATGCTACCTTTTTCAAAACTGCCAGATGTGTTTTTCCAAGCAGTCCTGATGTTTTCTGGCAATGTTGCTCAGCGTTGCTGGGTAAGATATCTTCCTGAGTTGGATAGATGTAAACTTTGGGAAGAGAAGGTTCCTGTTATTTGCTCATTCCACATTTAAAAATGCATGCGTGCTGTGCGCACGTGCTGGTGTTAGCTTCTTGTTGTTTAATGAAAATACCCAAGAGGCGCCATTTAGGAAGGAAGACTGCAGCTGACAGCCTGGAAAGTCCCAGTCTGGGAGTGTGGAGCCCCGTGGGTGCAGGCATGGGCGAGGCTGGAGGATGGGTGGAGGGGAGAGATGCCAAGAGTGCATGCTTCCGCTCTCCTCCTAGTGGTCACTCCTTGTAGTGCAGCCTGATTGGATCCTGGGGCCTCCCCTTTAGGCTCCGCATGCAACAGTTTCCGAAAACTTCTACCTTCAAGCACCAGGTGTCATTTCTAATGCGTCAGCCATTAGCCCATTACCTATTAACATAAGACTCGGGTTCAGGTGTCTGCATGAGCTCGCAGAGATAATGGGAGTGAATGATGCAGAGGGCGGAAGGGAAAGCCATTTGTGTAACTGACTGTGATGCCACCAAGCTGCCCAGCACTTGTCAGCCTGGCAGCTGCTCATAGCAGGGCACTCACTGTCCTCACTGTGGTAGTCTTGCCACACTGCAGGGGTCTTTTCCTAAGAAGTTGGCTTTACTGTTACGAGTTCCAATTAATAGAAACTCAGCCATGCCATTTCCTTTACCATGAAGGTTTGTAGATTCAGCTTCAACTCAGCATTCGCACGCAGCCTAATCAAATCTTACCCTTGTATGATCCAGAAAATGAACACTTCTCTAATATTTTTCTGTTTGGTGGTGTAGGATTGCAATCACATCTATGCCTTCTTTCACAGCATGTTTGTGAAATATAGAATGTGCATGTTTTAAGTTACTGTACATCCTTAAACAGCCAGTGGTGGGGTGAGGCCATAGACTCTGGCAGTTTGGGTAGAACTTTGCTTTGTCTGTGGTGCTCCTGTGGACTCAGTTTATTCTCAGGGGTTGCTGTCTGTACCCATGAGCGATGGAAATGCCTCCTAGTTTCCTTTTGATGCTTGGCTCTGAACTGACTCCTGATGCTGCCCTGTTACTGGTGGTATGGGATGCCAAGAGGAAGGAATGATACACATAGCAGGAATGCAATGATCAGAGACTCTTCCAGTTTGCCAGTGATGGACCAGATACTGAGTATGTCATGCACCTAATCATATTGGGTCATTGTAAAACTTTTTGTTGGGGCCAGTGCTGTGGCTCATCCTCCACCTTCTTACGCTGACATCTTGTGTGGGTGCTAGTTTGTGCCCTGGCTGCTCCATGTCTGATCCTGCTCCTTGGTTGTGGTCTGGAAAAGCAGGGAAGAACAACCCAAGTCCTTGGGTCCCTGTATTCATGAAGGAGACCCAGAAGAAGTGCCTGGCTTCAGATCAGCTCAGATCTGGCCATTCTGGCCTCTTACGGAGTGAATCAGTGGATGGAAGATATTTCTCTCTATCCGTAAATCTGGAGGGATTTACAGATTGGGAGAGGTTGAATGACTTGCTCAGGATCGCACAGCCACGTGTTTTATCCTAGAATTTGATGGTGCTTTTGTTGGACTCTGGAATCAATGCTGTTAGCTGTTACACTAGATGGCTTGCTAAGCAAAACACTTGCTTTTGTGTGAACTTTGCCTTGTGTCGAAAGTGTCTGTGATTCCCAGCAGTAGTGAGCTTCTGGGCTTGGTCTGTTCTCAGGCCATGTCCGAGGTCAGATGGTGGTTTTTCACTCAAGCCCATGGAGAGTTCCCGAGGGAAATCAGACCATAGCTGTGTTAGTAGGTAGGGCCATAACACCAGTGCAGGGTTTATTAAGAATGCTGTCCAGGGGACTGTTGGAAGATGTAAGAGCTGAGATGCGATCCCATGACTTCCTTTGTTTCTACTGCAGATGCAACAGCAAGAGCTCGGCTTGTGGAAGACCAGCCTCGGCATCCTGGCCTGGGGCCTGGGCCGCCTCCTGTGCTGGTGGGCGCTGGCTGAGCTGATGGCCCGCCTCATGTACATGCACGCCATCTACAGCAGCATCCCTCTCCTGGAGGCCGTCTCCTGCTGGACCTTAGGTAATTGTGGACAGTAAGCAGTCAGCATCAGAGTGAAGCTGCGGTCGGTGGTGGGGTGGGCTGGGCAGGGGACAGGGACATTGTGATCTGGAGCACACGTCAGTCTCCTGCCTTGGAAAGCCTTCATCCTCTTGGGTCCAGGAGAGGAGCTGGTCCAGGAGCATACCCTGAGCCGAGCTGAGGGACTAGGGTTACAAAACAGACAACACACAGTGGGTCATTCTTGTGAAGAGAGTGTCATTTATTCAAAGTCATCCACATCTTTTATAGTCTGCTTGGCCCCTCCCAGCATTTTCCCAATGCTCAAGGGACACCTAAGCTCCCCCGAGGGCATCTTTAAAAAGGGGAAGCAGGGAAGAGGGAACTTGCAGTCAAGCCAGGGGCTAAATGTGTCAGGCCAAGATTGCCCATCCTGTTACACCTTGAGAAACAAGCTGAGCTGTGGAGGTAACCCTTGGGAGATGGGGCCTACAAAAGATTGATTTATTTGAAAGGCAGAGTTGCAGAGAGAAGGTACAGAAACACTTTCTCCTTAGCCCTCTCCACATACAGAGGAGAAAGAGAGCAAGCAAGCCAGAGAGAGAGAGAGAGAGAGAGAGAGATAGAGAGAGAGAGAGAGTTCTTCTATCTGTGGGTTCACTCCCCAGAGGGCCACAGTGGCTGGCGCTGTGCTGGGCTGAAGCCAGGAGTTTGGAGCTTTTTCCAGGTCTCCTGTGTGGGCACAGGGGCCCAAGCACTTGGGCCATCCCCCTATGCTTTCCCAGGTGCCTTAGCAAGGAGCTGCACCAGAACAGCCAGGTCTTGAACTGGAGCCTGTCTGGGATGCCAACACTGCAGGTGGCTGCTTATTTTTCCCATAAGCCAGTCACTTCAAAGTTTTTGACAAATGATTCAGCAAAGAAAAATGCAGTGTGTGTGTAGTTACTTTAATCTGCTGGTAGTGTACTCTCTGATAGTTTTTTCTCTTCCATGTTATTTTATTGCCAAATGCTGATTGGAAGTCACCAAATTGGGTGAGTTGCCATCTAGAGTTTGTATAACACTGCCCTTTTCATACTTGAGTATCTACAAATAGTTGCTGCATTTTGGTCAGCATACGTGTTTGGATTTACAGGGTAATGCTAAGTGATTGCTTAAGTTGGTTGAAACCATTCCTGCTCTTCTTGGCATTGTGTGAGCTTTTGGCTTGAAATGCTTATCAACATCTGGTGGTGGTTTTCAGTTTTGAAAATGCAATGGGTCCTAGCTGTGCATTATGATACGGACCTGCATCTTGCCAGTTACTAATAAGTTTGAACATCTTTTCACAGGTTTACAGAACACTGATGTATCATTTTTAGAGATCTAAATGTAGATAACTTTGGCTTTTTCTGCTGGAATTGTTTTTTTATTGAATCATAGGATTATTTACGTTTTATTGCCATGCTTTTTTTCTGTTTCTTTGTTGCTGAAATTTTATCAGAAAATTTATTTGAACAAGTTCTAGAGACAGAAAGGCTTGCAGGCAGAGATCTTCCATCTGTCTGTTTATTCCCCAAATGTCTGCAGCAGTCAGGGCTGGGCCAGGCCAGATCCAGGAACCAGCAGCTTCATCTGAGTCTGCCACATAAGTGAAGGGGCCCAAACACTAGAGTCATCTCCAACCACTTTCCCAGGGAGCTGGATTAGAAGTGGAGCAGCTGGGACATGAGCCCATATGAAATGCCCGTGCTGCAGGTGGCAGCTTAGCAACAGCCCCTGTGGAAAATATTAATACCTTAGTTTGATTTGTGGTTTGATTTTTAATGTTTTGTAATGTTACATTTTTGTATGTAGATTTTCTCTTCATGTAGGTATATTTATACATTGTTGCTTATGGTTTATATTTTCCTACCCCGAGGTCATAAAGATACTCTCTGTTCCATTTTTTTATGAGGTTTTTAATGATTAAAAAATGTGTTTTGCATTTTTATGATAGAAAATAAAAAAAATAGGTCATCACTGCTTTAAAAATGGAATTATTGCATTTCCATTTGCCCCAAGATAAGTGTGATTTATAAATGGGCATTTTATCCCTACAGTTCTCCTTATGCCCATATATGGTTTTCCCCAAATGAGCTTATATTATACAAGAGTATTATACAAGAATCTGTGCAAGATGAAAATAAGACGTAAGCTTATTTTGGTGCAACAAAATTAAAATCCGTGCATACAAGAGGTCATGTGAATGCATGTAATCCAAAGTTGTGCACAGATGTTCTTGTAGGTGTGTGTAGTTGTACAACCTGGAATTTATTTCTATCAGTAATCTCTACACTTCCATGTTCCTGAAATTTAATACCTAGATGATAATCCTATGTTGCCAGTTGACCCCGAATAGCCTTTCTAGTGGATTGGCCAAGTCAATATACAAGCTGGAACCGTGCATTCTCTCTGGTTGTTTCATCCCTCGAGGTGGTCTTAATTTAGCTTCGTCCCTTTTCATGGCACTGGCTTGTTGGAGGGAGCTGTCTTACAGGATGAGGCCAATTGTCTTGCAGGATGTTCTACCATCTGGCTCCTCGCGATGACATTTAGCATATTCTCATGTCCTATGTTTTTTGTCAACTAAAAGTTAAGTTTTGTGGGATAAAAGTTATTTAAAGCTGCAGTATCTCATAGATGAGATTGTGTGCTTAGGCTTTTCCCATGGTCTTATGGAAAAGTTTCAAATATCTTGAAAGTTTGAAGGTATTCCAGATCTAATATTTCTAGGTATCTTCACATTTCTTCAAATGGCTCTAAGATAAGTTTTCAAGCTATTTTGTCTCCCCAGAATATTGTCAAATTAGTAATTTTATTGTAGACTCTTTTTTTTTATTGACTACATTGCATTATGTGACACTGTCTCATAGGCTCTGGGGTTCCCCCATATTGTAGATTCTTAAAATGTATTTCTCATACACCAAAACTCAAAGAAATAGAAAGAATTGTCTTCCAATTACTAGTTCAGCCCTCAGATGCTCTAAACAGTGAGGATGTGGACCATACTGAAGCCAGGAGCTCAGGACTCGATCAGAGTCTACCACAAAGTTACAGGGGCTCAAGCACTTGGGTCGTTATTTGCTGCTTCTTGAGATGTGGTAGCAGGACACTGAATCAGAAGGGGAGTAACTGGGACTTACACTGGCTGGCACTCCCATGTGGGAAAGGGACATTCAATGTGGTGGCTTAATACATTGCACCACAGTGCCCACCTGGATTTTATGCCTCTTTAGTTGTCTTTAGTCTAGAATTGTTAACCCACTTTTGAAAATGTCACTGACTTTATGAAGAGTCCAGATGTGTTGTAGAATGATCCCCTGCTGCACTCATATTTGGATTTTAATTATTTTTTGTTAATTTCCTTTTAAAATTATTTTAAAAAATATTTATTACGGTCAGGGTTCTAATTTTCTTTTTGAAATTTATTTTTTTGGAAATTTTTTTTTGAAATCTATTATTTTCCAAGTGTAGGGATTCCCTTCTCCACCTCTTCTACACTTTCCACTGCTTTCCCCCATATTATTGAAGTAGTATAGTCCTTCAGCAACAGCTACAAGTTCAACATTCTGCTCTTCAAGTAGATCATGGCATTACAAATGCAGGCAATGGTAGAAAGTCTAGTATCCTATTGTCAAGGGATGTTGAATGGTTTCATTGGGAGTCTTCTTTTTACTCAGGAGTAGACATAGGTACCATAACGTATCTTCACTTCTTTGTATGCTAGGCTCCATTATATGGTTCATCTATGAGAATATATGTATATGCCTATTTATATATTTATCTTGAGTTTTACATGAAAGCTGACTCATGCTCAGTGAAATAAGCCAATCACAGAAGGAAAAATATATGCTTTCTCTGATTTTTTTTTACTATTATTCTTAAATCTGTCCTTCTATTTTCACTTTGCTCTAATGTACATTTATTTATTTAAAAGGTAGAGATACAGGAGGATGGAGAGAGACTGGGAGAGATCTGCCATTGCTGGTTCACTCCCCAAATGGCTACAGTGTCAGAGCTGAACCAGGCAACAGCTAGGAGCTCCATCAGGGTGCCCTGTATGAGTGGCAGAGGCCTAAGTACTTGGTCCATTTCCTGTTGCTTTTCCAGGTGCATTAGCCAGGGGGCTGGATCAGAAGTGAAGTAGCCAGGACTTGAGCCTTTGCCACAATGCACCCCCCACTTCAGTTTTCTATAAACTGAAATTTAAGTCTAAATGAGGCTTGGTTTAGTACAGCTAAAATAATTTTGGAGAATTGCTTCACACAGGATTCTGTATACCTCATATTGCTTTTGTGAGATGCATGTCCTGCTGTCCCTGCTGGTCTCCTTCCTTACAGGAGGTGGTCACTGCCAGATCTTTCCCTTCTAACTGTACATTTATTCCTTTGTAGTTCACACGGCACTGAATCAACGCTCTTGTTAGTAGCCTTCTGTTAGTTCATTTCCTGTTGCTGCAACAAAATCCCTGAGTCTACCAGGGAATGTATTAAGAACAAAGGTTTATTTAGCTCATGGTTTGCAGTGCTGAAAGTCCAGGACTGGACGGCTCCCTCAGCTTGCCCTTTGGTTAGGGCCTGCAGTAGGTCGCATCACAACAGCAGGGGCAGGTGCTGGAGAGAGAAGATGGTAAGACGTAAGCATGGTCCAGCTCCCAAAATCAGGGAGCTGGATTGGAAGCAGAGCATCTGGGACACGAACCAGCACCCTTGTGGGATGCCGGCACCTCAGGCATAGGCTTAGCCTATTATACAGGGCATTGGCTCCTTAAATCTATTATTATATCCTCATTTGGTAGCTGGCCTTCTTCTGTAAACATTTTTTTTTTTTTTATTACAAACTGAGCTTGAATACGCTTTCATCTCAGAAGGCAGGCACAGGTGACATAGCTTCTATCTACATATTATTTTTTTGGAGTAAGAAGTTGTGAAGTGCTTCTGTGCACTGGGAGCATAAAATGGTCTCAAGTCCTTTGTAGTTTTTTATTCAAAAATTGTACA